TTTCTAGGGGCAGGTAGGTCCTGAGCAAGGAAGGCAGGTGATGCTTTCGCAGGAGCGGAGCTAAAATCCAGGTGAAATCAGTTTGTCTGGTCAGGGGAAGGGTTAAACTAAAGTAGTTTGCTAGGGGTTTTCAGGGGGAGGTGGGGTGAGGGAAAAGAAACTGGAAGAAATTTAACGTGAGTAATGAAACAAAAGCTCTTTATGGGAAGTAAACAACAATAAATAAAAAAAACAAACACAGGAAGGAGCAGAAACAAAGCTGAGAATCAACCAGGGTCAAGTTACAGATGACAAGGCGTGCAGCATTCCTAACGATCAGTGAATGGATGGCATTAACATAAATAGAAGAATGAGTGATTGACACTCAGAATTACCAATTGGTAATCTGTTGAGGTGGAGTTCAGAAACATTGAAGGGTCAGCAAACTTTGGAGAAACAGTTTACGTGCCAAATGGCAGTGGTAATGTAGGGCACAGTTTAACAAATCAGGAAATTAGTATTTGGAGGATGCAATAATCCAGGGTGACCTCTAACTACATACAGTCTGGACAAACCTCAAGCAAACTGTTGTGGTGGAGGACGAATTCCTGGAGATAAGATTTCTGGAGCAATATGCTGAGGAACTCACTGGAGAACAGACTATTTTACATCGAGTACTATTTGACGAGAAAGGGCTAATCAATCACCCTGGAGGTCTAATACCCTTTAGGAAACAGTGACAATAGAATAATTGAGTTTTGCATTCAGTTTGGAAATTATGTAACTCAATTTGAATCTATAATTAAATCTAAACCAAAAGGTAGTTATGTAGCCAAGAGTAGGAAGTTGGCTGTGGTGTTTGGAAAAATAGCTTGAAAAGATTTGATGTTAAATAGGTAATAGCTATTATTTAAAAGATCTAGTGTTTGACTTTCAAGGAATCCATACTGCAAGGCCAAAACCCACTCAACAGGAAAAGCAACAAGAGCCACTGCCTACAGAGGAAACTAAATAGGATATTAGATCGAAGGAGGTGGTTTATAAATTTACCAAAACGAAGTTAAGCTTGAGGATTGGGAAAATTTCAGAATTCAACAAAGAACGATTAAAAAAACTGCAGCTAATACAGAATTTGGTCGAAAGCGGAGGAGAGAATGTGAGGAGCTGCTGACAGACAAAAAGTAGTGGAATCTTGGAACAATCTTCCTCAAATAGTGCTCAATGCTAATTCAATTGATAAATTGGAGATAGACACATTTTAATTCAGAAAAGATATCAAGGGAGACAGACCCAAGGCAGGTATATGGAGTTAGGCCAAAGATCAACCATGCTGTCAGTGAATGGTGGAAAAGGCTCAAGGGGCTGAATGGCCTGCTCCTGCTGCTGGGTGAAGAGAGAGGAGCATGGCAGGTGGATTATAACGTGGAGAAATGGGAGGTTGCCCACTTTGGGATGAGGAATGAAGGTGAAGAGAATTTTGGGAACAGTGAGAGATCGGATAAGATTGATACCCAGAGGAACCTTGATGTCATTGTTGAGACCGAAGTCAGCAAAGGCCAACATGGCCACGCAGCAAGCGGTTCACAAAGCAAACTCATATCGCTCTCAGCATAAATATTTTACAACTTTCAAGTTAGACCAACACACTAAAAACTTACAGTTTTAACTCTATTCTGAAAATAGGTCACTGGAGCAGAAATGTTGACCCTGCTTTCTCTCCACAGATGTCGCCAGACCTGCTGAGTTTCTCCAGCAACTGTGATTTTTGTTTCAGAAGCATGATACAGTTGACTCCACAATGTGCACCAACTTTCTCGCCTTACTTGAATTTGTACAAATTTGGGCAAATTTTAAGCTTATTCCACATTCCCTCGATGGTACACCTTTTTGTTTTTTAAAAACATATTTCTTTGACTGACTGCGTTGCAAGTTGCCAAGATGGATTTCCCCTCCCCTTGTTACACCTCAAACAAATTACTCACTGCAAGCAGCTTTTTGTAGGAGTTAAGTACTTTGGTCAAAATCTCCATTTGGGGCTAAAAGTGGTCACTGTCAAAAACCAAACCTTAAAAATCTAACAACACACAGGCAAGAAATTCTGAAAAGGCCAAGGTCCACGTTCTAAGATACAAGGTTAAAAAGAATTGAGTGGGATCTCTTTGCCAAGAAAAATCAAGTCGCAATTAGGCAATGGAAAGCTTTGTACTTAAAAAGCTGTTGATAAATCAGAGGAAGGACGGCTGAATGAGATAAGTGGCAGCCTTGAAAGAAGGAGTCGTGTAGGAGCTGATATTTCAGCAGGCCAATGAGGAAGGGGGTGGAGGGGAAAAACGACGATGTGGTAAGTAGTGTTTTGAAGCTGCAATACACCCGTAATTGCTTGCTTTCACCTGTGCTGCAAGTCCACTGCAGCGAGAGCCAAACAGCTAATAGCTTTGGTTCAGGTGCACTGCCGCACACACAGCTTATTGCGAAGCAATGGTCCACACCAATTCTTTCCATAGTGATTGTAATGAAATAAGCGAGCTGGACCTCACAGAATGAGTTCCCGAATTGAACCAGATTAACAGCCCCAACCAGAGAGCTCTGACTGATAGATTAAAAAAGGCTGAGCGTTAGAGAGGCTGACACTCTGGTGACCGACTCTGAAGCAGTACCTAAGTCAAGGACTGTTCACATATGAATAAAAGGTGACTTGGTGATGAGTTACCGGCCTCTGCAAAGGGAGAAATTGACATAGTTCTGTGAAGTCCAAATATTGCAGAATTATTGCACAGAAGAGGTATCAAAGGATATTTTATTAAACTCTCCAGCCCCAAATACCAAAGCTGCATGTAAACAGTTTGAGGGTCAGACTTTTGGACAGTTCCAACATGCCTCTGTCTGCTTCTAACCTTTCATGTCAAAAAAAAAAACAAGGATAGTGAGGACAGATTAGTCACATTCTCCAAAGGAGGCTCAGTTGTTGAAGCTGTCATTAAGTGTGACATTACAGCTGTATCACTGAATGAGGCTGAATAAAAATCAACAGACATCAGGCAGACCCCTTTTAACAATGAAGAGCCACTCCTGCACAGTCCTGTGACAAGGCCGCCATACCAACGTTGGGAGAGTCCTTGGTGTGTTGCTTGGATGATGACCCTAACTGAAGTGCACATTTCCACAGGTGCCTCAGTACAGCATTTCATCAAAAAACATGTGACTAAGACATTTATTTAGGGGGGAGGCAGTGAAAGTGGGAAGATTGTAAAAGATACAGCTTGGATGCTGTACAATGCTCTCAGAACAGGTCACCATTGCTTCTGTTGTTGGAGTAAGGGGAACCAGATTACAGAGGCTGTCCCTCAGATGGATACAGAACTGGGAACACCTCATCCAGGACTGCCATTTCATGTGCAGCAGAAAAAAGGCTTCATCAAGGATCCTGTGGTGGATGGGTGTTTGGGGACCACAAGGAGACAAGGGTGGAGAAGGACAGGCAGACAGTTACACACAGAGATCATATTTAAATCAGAATACTTGCACCAAAAAAGGATTGCAGCCCATTCGAGAAAGCAGAACAGCTGACGTGACACTCTTTCAAAATTACTCACAACACAGTATGATGCATCACACGATCTTATAGGGGCAGAGGCAGTCTGCTAAGAAGATTTCCTGCTCCTCAGAGCTTCAGGCTGCCATCAGGTATTTTTCCACAAGCTGAGGCCAAGTGCACCCAGCTCCTAACTAACTACCGACACTTAAGAGTGCAAACTAACCAAATGTGGATGGAAAGGAGAGCCCTGAAGGCAAACAAAGTCGATTTAACAACACACCCAACGACAAGGGTTTGGAAACATCAGTCTGGGGACAGAGATTAAACACTAACATCACTTCAATTAAATGACTGTCTATGATAATAAGGAAGGGCAAAGCAAATACCTCCACACTCCCAAAAACAAAGCACAGAGAAGTACATCCAAATCGAAATAAATTCCAAAACAGACAGAGGCCATTTGGGTACAGTGTTAGCTTAATGGTCCTAATACTGATCTACTCCCCTATCTCGACACCAACAGTCTGCAATCTTTAAGGCTAAACATCTTTAATAATAGAACAAGTTTGTAAACTGGGATCTTACAAGTGCCCTGTAGTCATTTGCCTTTGTTCTGTTCCCAGCAGCTGGTTTTCACTACCCTATGGCAATAGAACACATATTCTCAAAACATGCTTATACAGTGAAGAGTCTGACACCAACCCTTGGTTTTTGGGAACAAACAGTGAGCGAATGTTGGTGAAACTCTGCAGAACCTGCAGCATTTGTAGGAAGAGACACTGAGTTAAAGTTTCTAAGCCATTATGACTTTTCTTGAGAGGCGAATGAGAACCTCTGTTCTGAAGAGGAATTATATGGACTGGAAACATTAATGGTTTCTCTCTCCAGAGATGCTGCCAAACCTGCACATGTCTCCAGCAACGTGGGTTTCTTACAGATTGCCAGCATCTGCAGTATTTTGCTTCTACTTTGAAGTTGGGACAAAAGGGGTTCAGTTGCTTGTAGAATAGGGGGGTGGGTGGGGTGGGGGGGTGTCAATAAATGCGAGATCAGAATCAATATCCAAAAATGGTAGGATAGCTTTCACAAATCATATTGCATGAAAAAAAAATTGTTCAAACCTGTTTAAAAACAAAACACACTGTTCCAAGACCAAAAGATGTCTAGATTTTTCAACGTGAACATCAAGCACCGACTCCAATTTAGTTACAAGCTGGTGGCCCTCCAACAGCACCCAACTAATTGGTCCTTACGTTTTAGGGTCTGGAAGAAAGTTTTGCCGTGGAGTCCAAAACTCCTGTGCTTCCGGAGATATAATTCATGATTTGGACCTTACCGTATGGGGCATAGATTCAAAAACAAACAAAAAAAACTTGGTAGTATTGAGAACTGCAAAGTGGATAGTGTAGTACTTCCAGAAGCAAAAAAAATCAAAAGGGCCAATATTTACTGCTCGTTACTGTTGCGTGTCAGGATGACTACTCACCATTGATCAGGCCTGGATGTTTTCTAGGTCTTGTTGTGTATGGGCAGGGGTGTGTCATTATCCAAGGGGCAGAGCAAAAGCCCATACCTCATGAAGGAGTTCAAAATAGATGCTTTGCATATGCATTGTAATTCAGCACTTGCGAAATTCTCTGCAGCCATTTGAAGAAAGTGGGAGACAGCATAATATAAATCAAATCTTGAAAATGCACAAGTTATGAAGAACACAAACAAACACTCTTCTGGCCTAGCGGGTTGCATTTGATCCAAAAATGGAAAAAAAGGTCCAGGTTCAAATCCCACTATTGGACTTGATGGCCACGGGAGGGGTATTCACATCATCATGAACAAACACCTTCGAAATCAGGACAGAAATCCTAAAGATGCCAATGGTAGATGGCACAGATAGGAGAGATTGCTGCTCAGTCGTGCATTGGGTGGAGCCTTAAACATTACTGACCAGAGCAGGCACATAAAATGAGGTTGCCACAGGAACTCAGTATGGAAGCAGGGCTGGGGGTGCCAGTTGTATTGGCTCAGAAGGCTGGATGGCCAGTAGACTATCAGATTGGTGCAAAAAGGATAGGATCGAATCCCTGTTCTGGTCATGTGTGATCGAGAGCCTGCTTCCTAATGCTCTCTGTGGAAATTGCAAGGCAGGGGGTGGAAGCTGCCTTCAGGTAGTTAACTGACAACAAGCGTTTGAAAACATCTAGTCGTCTTTTGTAGACCAGCCAAATCTTGCCTTGAAATAATTAAGTCATGTTGAACATTTCAACTAAAGTTTCACTGTTAATAAAATGCAACCTACCAAAAATGGAGGGAATTAATTATTTCCGCATTAAAAGGTACGCTTTCAAACAACAGTCAAACATTATAAATGCAGTTATTTCTACAGTTACTGTTTTGAATGAATTTGTTACAGTGTCTGAAGCTTCTCTGCACCCAAGAATTGAGCGATAATTACAATTTAATAATCAACAAAACAAATACCAAAGCCTGAACAAAGGTTCTCGAGTTCTTTTGCCAAGAGCTGCTCCCATTAATTGGGAAACATTCATTCGATAGCTCAATCTAGCCCCAAGTTCCGACTTTAAAAAAACAGCAGGCGTCGTCTCAAGCCCACCTAAACTCACTGACAACCCAAGGAACCACCGATTAGATTCAGTAATGAATCCATTTCAATATATTCATGCATGTGAGAAATACGTAACGCACAGCCATCGCATCAACATCCTTTTGCTTCTTACTGTTCAGGCTCTCTCACAAAAGGTAGGCTGCGAGGGAAGACAAACAGTCAAGCTATTCCAGCTTAGCTCCGATGCCACCAGCACATGCATTAATGTGCACACTATGGAGATTATGGCACTAAACTAGTGATTCACATGTCCAGGCTCATCATCTGGTAGCTCATGACCTTTACATTTAAAATTAACTAAACTGGAATTTGAAACTGGCCTCATCCTTGATGATCATGCAACTAAATTGGTTAGCTACCAAAACCCATCTGGTTCACCACTGCCCTTGAGGGACACCAATCTGCATAACATGCGGCTCCAGAGCGATAACGCTGCGCTCTCCCTGTCAACAATCATCTGCTAAAGCAGGTTTAAGGGCATTGAGAGACGGGCAACAAAATGCTGGTCTTGTCAGTGACACCCAGGAAAGAATAAAACAAGCGAATGCTATGCTTCAATCTTCCTGCTCACTCTAACATTCCAGTCATGAACTCCAATGTTAAAAATTAGGTTGTGCGAATTTGTGTCGTGACCTTTAATGCACCAAGACTGGAACATTAGTTCGCTACATGCAACAATATGGTTTTGATTTTATTTTAACAATGTAAGCATGAGAACATTTGAAATTCACAATAATTGCAACTGAAGAAGGCGAAAACAATGTGCTGGGCAGTAAAATTAGGAAAATCCATGAAGATTGGTCTTAATAAAAGAAATCTCTCATCAGCATTTGTTCTCTTGAAATCTACTTGTATGTAAAAAAGGGGAAGAAAAATGTGTCAAAGAATGAAAAGGTTTAAAATACAAGCATTTTTAAAAGCTTCACCCCATCTTTCCCCCAAACAGGTACCTATTGATTACATTTGCAGCCAAATCCAGTTAAAATGGTGCAAAGCAAATGAGGATCTTAAAAAGAGAGAATACATCTTTTATTTCTGCTGCATGTTGAGTTTCTAAGTCTCACTAAAGATCCTCAGACAGCACCTTCCAAACCCACAACCACTTCCATCGAAAAGGACAAGGGCATCAGACATATGGGAACACCACCACCTCCAAGTTCCCCTCCAAGCCACTCACCATCCTGACTTGGAAACATAACGCTGTTCCTTTACTGTTGCTGGGTCAAAATCCTGGAATTCCCTCCCTAACGGCATTGTGGGTCAACCCACAGCAGGAGGGATGCAGCGGTTCAAGAGGGCAGCTCACCACCACCTTCTCAAGGGTAACTAGCGATGGGCAAGAAATGCTGGCCAGCCAGCAACGCCTACTTCCCACAAAAAAAAAAATGAAAAGAAAAGAAAACTCAACCAACAATGGAAATAAGATTAGACAGTGGTCACACTCAGGCTTGCAATCTCATGCAGATACATGATCAAATTCAGAAGTGAACACACTCATCCTTCCCCAATAACACATGGATTTTAACAGTGGAGATTCCAGAGTGAAAAAGGATGGCTAGCTTAAATAACATCAATCAGCAGTGGGGGGGAAAACCACAAAAAAAAAAAAAAAAGGGAGGTGGTGCACTTCTGGGTACCCAAATATTAATTTACCCTGAACTGGAGGTGTCACACAATTTCATTCCCAATAAATAGAACAAACCATCATTACAACAATAAGTGAAAGTCAATGGTCTCAGCTCCTCTTACATCAGAAGGCTGCCCGGAATTACATTTGCTTGATCAGATTCAAGACTACGTGAGTATTCAAGTTTTATCCAACATTGGGATAAAACGCCCCACTGGCACAGTCTTCCCATCTTTTCACAATATGGCCTCCTTAATTGTTGGATTGGTGCTTTCTAAGTAAATTCCTGGATTTATCCTTGTTCCCTTTTCCTCGCATGGTTCTCTGGAGAATACTTCAGTCCTTTGGTAGGAAACAGAAAACAGTCATGTTGTCAAAAGCTTTTCATGGTGCATGGGTCAGGATAAAATGCAAGATCAAAATTTTGAAAGAACATGAATTCGTACCGCAGGGGGAAAAAGGTACGGACTGTTTTCTCCATAGCAACACCTCAGCCAATTGGGAACATGCAGCTCAAGCTCTCGTACTTCAAAAAATTCTCAAACATATGCCACAGAACATAGAAAAATACAGGTTGTTTCTCACATCTTAGTGCACTAACAATCAATTTAAAATCAGTTGACTTATGTAGTTCCATGCTTACTCGAAGCTAAGCGTTACAACAGGGACCTGGGAGCTTGGGGACACGACAGTTCCCTGTTGTTCCCTCCATGGTAACATCAAATCCAGTCATGGTGAATGTTTGAACCAATCGGGCTCCTTTTCTCCTGCAGTACAACTTGCAGAAATTGTTTAGAGTTTGGCATTCTTGTGTTTGTCCTGATGAGCCACAAGATAAGAAGCTTCAGCAACACATGTCCTTCTCTTCCACAGTATTCATGTGGGAAGCCTAATTTGCTCCAAGTTTTAGTTTTGTGTCTGCAGTATATGGCAATTCAGCATCTTTACTTCAGTACATCCAGTGTGACTGAACTCTTCTATAATATTATTTCCTCAAACATGGAGAACCAGGTTTCAAGAATGGAGTCGGTACGTTCAGAACTTGACAAACCTATGTCAATAGACTGCATTGTCTATTGTCAAGTAGGCAGCAAAACAATTATTCAAAAACTGAATTTGCCATAAAGCACACACCCAGCCACCCACACAAAAAAGTTCACGTTCAAAGATAATCAGCGAACTTCCTCTTTGATGATTTTCTTTTCACAGGACGCTATAAAAACTTTAAAAAGCACCGAAGTACACATTGACGCAAGAGCTGGCCCATTTCAGAATCTACTAGAGGGGAAGGGAAATGACATGACTGCATGTTGAAGTGCGCAAAATTATCACCACAGAGCAGAAATCCTGGTTTAAAATCACCTACCTGCACAACCTCCATTCCAAGAAAGAGCTGATCAAACAGCTTAGGGCATGTGAAAACAGCAGAGAACCGTAACTAAAAAATGGTATAATGATGTCTCTTGTTCAGTAAAGATTCAAGGTGCTCTTTGTTCACATCTTGACAACTGGCTCAATCTAGCTGGATGCTGTACATGTAAATAGCACAAGCCTCCAGTACAAACAGTATAATGACAGAACCAATTTGATCCCTGTACGAGATATTGAACTGACTTCTGGATTCCACGGCAAATCATGGGCTCCATTCATTAACGGAGCTAAAACTGGGACAGGCCCACATGATGTTTAAAACTAATTTACCTTTTAATGGTTCGAAAACTTCATTTCCCTTGGTTTTCTAGAAAAAAAATGAATAACAGAGAAACTTGAAAATCAAAAAAATGGACAATTATACTTTTTTTTTCATCCTTTACAGCCTTGTCAAAGTCTATTTTGGATATTTTACGCACTCAATAACCAATATTGCAGGAGCTTAAAAAAATGTATCTCATTACCCCTTGGGAACAGATCCCAGTTAAAGGAAACTGGTTATCATACTGTGCTTAAGAAGGTACCGTTATATTCCATTAGGCAAAGGGTTCCCATCTACCACTCCCTCCCCTCTTAGGTTTCAGACAGTTTTTCTGATCACCCTCTTTTCCAGTGGTGGAGATTTCCAGCAATTGGGTGCAGTATCAGAGACGCAGCATTCAACCGTCTTTTTCCTCAGCAAATGCTGTCAGAACCCCCAATGACGGCCATGTTTGAGGATGACTGGGAGAAAAAAAATGGCATTTTCCCAGCCCCATGTCCAGAAAACTCTTCACAATAAAAGATTCTCATCTCTGAAACACAAAACCTGGAAATGATTTTGGGGGGGGGGGGGGGGGCGGGAGGAAAAGACAGGGGAAAGACAACGGGCGCAACCCCCCCGCACACACCAACCGCCCCCCCGCGCACGAGACCACCACCAC